GTGAGTGTGTGCGTGTGTGTCTGTGTGTATGTGTGTGTGTGTGTGTGTCTGTGTGTGTGTGTGTCTTTGTGCGTCTTTGTGTGTGTGTGTGTGTCTGTGTGTCTGTGTGTCTGTGTGTAGGTGTGTGTGTGTGTGTGTCTGTGTGTGTGTGTGTGTGTCTGTGTGTGTCTTTGTGTGTGTGTGTGTCTGTGTGTGTCTGTGTGTAGGTGTGTGTTTGTGTGTCCGCGTTGTCCTTCCCAGCCGCTGCAACCCCTCGGCGTGGCCTGGGTTCCGCCGGCCTTTGGCAGGTTTGGTTCGGGCGCCGCCTGTGGCGCCCTCCACCGCTCTGCCACGCCTCCTGCCAGGCCGGCCGACCTCGGCAGCTTCTCGCCGGGTCCCCGCCTCGCCCGCCTGGTTTAAAACGACACGAAGATCGGGACAAAATCGGATCGGGATAACTCGAAATCTCTGAGAATCGGCGGGTTTGGAGGACGTATTGGGCGCCGCGGCCGCTCCAGAGCGTTCTGGAACGCTCTGAGAGCGCTCCGGAACGCTCTGAAGCGATTTATCCCGATCCTAGCCCTGTTTTATGGTTTTCAGGTCGGCCTTTCGCCCACGCACGGGCCGCCCGGTTGGGCCGGGGTTGCTGCCACGCAGCCGTGGCGCAGCAGTGCACTGCCCGCCCCCCCCTCCCCGCGCCCCGAAGGTCACGAGATCTCGGCGCCCGCCCGCCTCGCTCGCTGGGCCCTTCCCAGCTCCGCGCCGCTCCCCCATGTTGGCGTGGACTCCCCAGTTCCCAGTCACGTGCCCTTCGCCCACGCGCCTGCCGTTCAGGTTGGCCGCGCTCGCTGCAGCGCACCCGTGGCGCATCGGTGCTCCGCCTGCCCCCCCCCCCGCCTTCCACCGCGCCTCGCAGGCCACCAGATCTCGGCGCTCACCTACCCCAGCCGCTGGGTCTCTGCCAGCTCTGCTCTGCTACCCCAGTTTGGTGTAGTCTACCCAGCTTCAGTCACGTGACAGATCAATTCCTCCGTGCAGCCGTTTGCTGCTATGCACGGTCAGCCTCCATCTGGTTTTGGATGTTCCGTATTTGCTCAATTGTTTCCCCCCTGGGCTCTGCCCGGCCGCCTTCGGGCTGTCTTCCCCCCCAGCTGCTGCCTGGCGTCGCGGGTGGCCCCCCCCCCCCCCCCGGCGCCCCCCCGCCGCTGCTGGGACTTGCTTGAGAGGGCCCGGCTTCTCCTCTTCCTGCTTGCGTCGGGCGTCCTCTCCTCTTCTACCGTGCACCGCGGCCCAATTTGCATACAGCGCGCCAAACTGATGGCCGATCGCCCGAGCAATAACGTCTGCCCAGCCGCTGACGTAAAGAAGTTCGTGTGTATGTGTGTGATTGTGTGTGTGTGTGTTTGTGTGCGTTTGCGTTTGCGTGTGCGTGTGCGTGTGCGTGGGCGTGCGCGTGCGCGTGCGCGTGCATGTGTGTGCGTGTGCGTGTGCGTGTGCGTGTGCGTGCGCATGCGCGTGTGCGAGTGCGTGTGCGTGTGCGTGTGCGTGTGCGTGCGCATGTGCGTGTGCGTGCGCGTGTGCGTGTGCGTGTGCGTGTGCGTGTGCGTGTGCGTGTGCGTGTGCGTGTGCGTGTGCGCGCGCGTGCGCGTGCGCGTGTGCGCGTGTGATGCGCGTGTGCGTGTGCGCGTATGTGCGCGTGTGTGCGCGTGTGTGCGCGTGTGCGCGTGTGCGCGTGTGCGCGTGTGCGCGAGTGCGCGAGTGCATGTGTGCGTGTGCGCCTGTGCGCGTGTGCGCGTGTGCGCGTGTGCGCGTGTGCGCGTGTGCGCGTGTGCGTGGGTGCGCGTGTGCGTGCGTGCGCGTGTGCGCGTGTGCGCGTGTCCGCGTGTGCGCGTGTGCGCGCGTGCGCGTGTGCGCGTGTGCGCTTGTGCGCGTGTGCGTGCGTGCGCGTGTGCGCGTGTGCGCGTGTGCGCGTGTGCGCGCGTGCGCGTGTGCGCGTGTGCGCGTGTGCGTGTGCGTGTGCGTGTGCGCGTGTGCGCGTGTGCGCGTGTGCGCGTGTGCGCGTGTGCGCGAGTGCGTGTGTGCGTGTGCGCCTGTGCGCGTGTGCGTGCGCGTGTGCGTGCGTGTGCGTGTGCGCGTGTGCGCGTGTGCGCGTGTGCGTGCGTGTGCGTGTGCGCGTGTGCGCGTGTGCGCGTGTGCGCGTGAGCGCGCGTGCGCGTGTGCGCGTGTGCGTGTGCGTGTGCGTGTGCGCGCGTGCGCGTGTGCGTGACCGTGTGCGTGACCGTGTTCGCGACCGTGTGCGCGTGTGTGCGCGTGTGCGCGTGTGCGCGTGTGCGCGTATGTGCGCGTGTGCGCCTGTGGGCGTGTGCGTGCGTGTGTGTGTGTGTGTGTGTGTGCGTGTGTTGTGTGTGTTGTGTGTGTTGTGTGTGTGTTGTGTGTGTGTGTTGTGTGTTGTGTGTTGTGTGTGGTGTGTTTATGTGGTGTGTGGTGTGTGTGTGTGTGTTGTGTGTTGTGTGTTGTATGTGGTGTGTGGTGTGCTGTGTGTGGTGTATTGTGTGTTGTGTGTTGTGCGTCTGGTGTGCTGTGTGTGGTGTGTGGTGTGTGGTGTGTGAATGTGTGTGAATGTGTGTATGTGTGCGAATGTGCGTGTATGTGTGTCTGTGTTTGTGTCTGTGTGAATGCGTACGAATGTGTGAAAATGTGTGAGTGCGTGTGTGTGGTGTTGTGTGTGATGTGTGTGTGTGTGTCTGTGTGTGTCCGTGTGTGTGGTTGTGTGTGTGTGTGTCTGTGTCTGTGTGTCTGTGTGTCGGTGTGTCTGTGTCTGTGTCTGTGTCTGTGCGGGTGTCTGTGTCTGTGTCTGTGTCTGTGTGTGTGCGTCTGTGTCTGTGTCTGTGTCTGTGTCTGTGCCTGTGTCTGTGTCTGTGTCTGTGCGTCTACGTCTGTGTCTGTGTCTGTGTCTGCGTCTGTGCCAATGTGTATGTGTCTGTGTCTGATTATGGTTCTGTGTCTGTGTCTGTGTCTGTGCGGGTGTGTCTGTGTCTTTGTCTGTGTCAGTGTCTTTGTCTGTGTCTGTGTCTTTGTCTGCGTCTGTGTCTGTGTCTGTGTCTGTGTCTGTTCGTGTGTGTCTGTGTCTGTGTCTGTGTGTGTCTTTGTCTTTGTCTGTGTCTGTGTCTGTGTCTGTGTCTGTGGCTGTGGCTGTGGCTGTGGCTGTGGCTGTGGCTGTGCGTGGGTGTCTGTGTCTGTTCGTGTGTGTGTGTCTGTGTCAGTGTCAGTGTCAGTGTCAGTGTCTGTGTCTGTGTCTGTGTCTGTGTCTGTGTCTGTGTCTGTGCGTGTGTTTCTGTGTTTGTGTCTGTGCGTCTATGTCTGTGTCTGTGTCTGTGTCTGTGTCTGTTTCTGTGCGTGTGTTTCTGTGTCTGTGTCTGTGCGTGTGTGTGTGTGTCTGTGTCTTTGTCTGTGTCAGTGTCTTTGTCTGTGTCTGTGTCTGTGTCTGTGTCTGTGCGTGTGTGTGTGTGTGTGTGTGTGTGTGTGTGTGTGTGTGGGGTGGGGTGGGGGGGGGGCTGGGTCCTGTGGTCTGGCCCCCGCACTGTGGGCCTCTTGCGGCGCGCCCCGACGCGGCGGGGGTCTCCCGCCTGGGGTCTGGGAGACTTCGCAGGAGCGGGATCGGGGCCCGGAGCAGGGGGAACGCGGCCCACTATCGTGTAGCCGATCCCCATCCCCATCCCCATCCCGATCCCCGGCATCCCATCACCCCAGTTGAGGGTATACTCCTCGAAGCCCGAAGGAAAGAGGCTTGTATTCCCATCTAGGGGGGCCAGTCGGCCAGTGGGGTTGAGGCCGCGCCAGTGGGGATAGAGATCGGATCAACGATGCTCAGCGGGGGGGGGGGACGGGACTCGTCGGGGGCCCCCAATTCACAGGAGGAGCAGGGTACCGATGGCGCTGCCCTGGCCTCGTTGATACCTCTTTTGGGGCCTCGCGGGAGGCCCGCGACTCCCACCGCTGGATTCGTCTCGACGTTGTGGTCACAACGCGCCCCTCCAGAGGTCCGGGGGGTAGCAGTAGCGGTATCGGTACTGTTGCCCCCCCAACGAACGGTGCGGTGCCCACACCGCGTGGTGACTCAGCGGGGATCTGGGGTGACAGCACGGTGTTGGGACTCGGGCCCGTTCTCCGAGGACGTTTGGGGCGATTGGGGCCGCCGGTGTCCCAAACCCGAGCGGTGACCAGCCATTCACCGCGCGGTGCGTTACCACGTGGTCTTGGTGCGCGGAGAGGAAGGAGATGGGAAGGGAGTTGCCCAGCGTTTCCTATCACAGGCAGTAGTGCCTCGAGCAGGGGTGGTGGTGCATCGAGCGGGAAAGTTGTTTGGAGTTTGGTCATGTGCTCAGGGGTCAGGGTTGAAGCGATCGCTGTGCCATAGGTCGCCTGGGGCGTTCGCACTTGCGAGCGCTGAGTACAAAGGGGGCTGTGGGACGAGAGGCAAAGCAGGCGTCTACGCACAGCGCATTGCGCAAGTGCAGAAGAGGGCGAAGGGAGTTGTCGGAGGGCCTGCGCAGGAGAGATTCGGGAGAGACGAGGAGGGAGAAGATGAGCGCAAGGAACAGGAGGGAACGGTCAAGGAGGGAGGAGGGGCAGCATCCGCAGCAGGAGGAGCAGGATCAGGAGGCACAGAAGTAAGCCACGTAGTGAGGTACAGGTCAGAGGAAACATAAGGAGGGATAACAGTGATGGGAAACACAGGAGGACGCACGTGGGAGTAGGGAGGAAGGGGAGGGAAGAGGGAGGAGTTTGCAAGGGCGGAGGGGCTAAAGATCAGAGGAGATAAGAGGGGGCTGGATGGAACAAGAGAAAAACAGTGGCGGGATGGGTAAGTGGGATCGCTTTCCACCTGCTCGCTCACGTAATTGTTGGCGGCGACTCCCTGGGCTGGGGCACGCTAATTCATTGCTTCCTTGCCAGATCGAACCGCTCGTGCCCTGGGCGCATGTCCAGAGTGTCGGCCGATCTGCTGGGTGCACGCCGAGGCCACACGGCACAGCCAGGAGAGCGCTGCTACCAGACCGTGGCGGGCCTTCTCCTCTGGGGGGGGGGGGGCAGCGATCGGCTCAGGGGGGGATTCGAGGTGCGAGGTGTTCGGGCGTTTTCGTCCGTTCTCGGCAGCGTTCCAGACTCGGGGTGGGCACTAGCAGCCAGGGGGGGACCTACACGGTGTTTTGGCGATTCCGTGGGCCGTTCTTGTTTCGACTTCGTTTTGCGGTAAAGGCGGATTGAAGAGACGGAAACAAAACGAACACGCAAACCACCGTTTAGGTTCAGCCCTGCTACTAGCTGCTCCTCGTCGAGAGCGTTCCGGGGGTGCCGGGGTCATGCCGAACGGCAGCCGGAGGCTTGAGCTATGGCCCGGTAGCCAAGGGGGTGAAGGTCAGGGGCAACGTCAGGGAGGGAGCGGCTCAGTGGGGGGATGGGGCTGCATCGGCCCCCAGTCGCCCACTGATCGCCGATGGGGTTCTGATAGCCCACCCCGCCCAGGGCCGTCCTGTTTCGCCATCGAGGGCCTATCGCCGATCTATCGTCCACGTACCCCCGATTCCAGGTCGATGCTTCCCCTCTGAGCCAGCCCCTCGTATCGTGACTCCTCATCGTCTCCTTCGTTTCCATCTGCCGCTTCATTTTCTGGGCGCGTGCGTCGTTCCCCCCGATCGTCCCCCTCGTTTGTTTGCCTCTCCGCGCCAGGGAAAATGAGGACGCAGACGCCACCGCCGTGCGCCCACAGGCCCACATGGGGCCAGGTCTCGGTGTATGTGCATGGCCTCCCCACAGGGCCGGGAGCCGACACGCATTAGGCGTTCTAGAAAGGACCTCGCCTTCGAGAATTGAATGAGCTGCCATGTTCTCCTCGGCGGAAGGTGGCGGAAGCAAAGCGAAGACGGCTCCGCCGGCGAAAGCTGGGGGAAGCTCGGCGCAGGCGGCGGAAGTAAAAGACGCGCCACCAAGAGATGCCAACCGTTCGGGAGTCAGAGTTTTCGGAATCGGCCACATATTTAACAGTGCCTGGGCCCAAAAGATGAGCCCATGGGAGCTGGGTGGTGGTGTGTGTGTGTGTGGCCTTCCCTCTTCGTTCCTTCCCTCTTTTCCGACCTTTCCTCCTCATGATTCTTCTCCTCCCCCTCCGTCTCCCTCCCCCTCCCTCCTCAACCTGCCTCCTGCTCCCTCCTCTCTCTTCCGTCCTCCCCCGCCCTACTCACTCCTCCCTTCTCCATATACCACCTCCCCCTCCTCTAACGTTTAACTAATGCTGCAGTCCAGTTTGCAGGCAACCTACGACGAGACGAGTTGGTGTCCTGTTCGAGAAGTCTCCGGTCATTGCGTCTAGCAGGAACCTCGCAGCTGAGATCACAGACTCCATCTGTGCTGCTGGCCTTTGTGTGGAGAGCGAAGGGGCCGCAGCGGATCTAGGGATCGAGAGAGGACCGCGACGCCTACAGCAGACGGGCAGACAAAAGGCGAGAAATGAGTTTGCCAGTTGGCAGGCAAGCATGTCGGCGCGTGCCGCCAGGGGAACCCAAGGGGCGAAGGCTGCGCGCAGGGTCGCCACTACAGGTATCATGCCTCGGATTGCCTATAGGACGAAGGTGATCCCATTCTCCCCGCAGCCAGTGCAAGAGCTTAGGCGCTCATCGGGAAAGCTTGCGACCTCCAGGGCCAGTGGCCGTTGTCCCACCACAGCTTCACACCTGTATGACGGAGACCAGGGCGTTCGCGATTGTTTTTTGGCAGGTGGGGACGAGGTGGCGCGCGTGCGGGCCACCCTGCACAACAAGACGGTCCGGATCGGCAGCGACACGTTGCCTGGGCTGTCTCGGGGCCTGCATCCAGAGCTGACTGCACGAGAGGTCATCGATTCTGTCCGCTTCGTCCCCTCTGCTTTCCTCCTTCTCCCAAAAGTGCGCTGAACAAAAAATAAAAAATGACGGAGACCAGGACCCCGCCATCTCGCAGCCATTCGGCCTTATCAGCCTTTGGTTCCAGCGTGCGTGTTCTTCCAGCCTGTTGCGTCGCAGGGCCGCTGAGAATCCTGGATCGTCACAGGCCTCGGGGAGGCCAAGCCTAGCCAGCAGTGGAAGAAGATATGTGGCGGAATGGCAGGAACGACATTCGTGGTAGAACCTGCGGGGTGGAAACCAGTGGGTCCCTGGGACTGGATCCGCCCTCAAGGAGACAGAGACGCGGTCCTCGACGGCCTGTTCGAGGGCGATCCCGATTGAGAATATCTTCTAACAGTTGTTATGGAGACCTGAGACGGTCATGCTGGAAGACTGCTGCCAAACATTATGGCAGCAAGGGCTTAGACTAGGGTGATGAGACTACCGACGCACTCAAGGTTTTGCGAGCGATGGTCAACAGAGGTACCGGTAAGTACAGGGCAGCCCAGTGTACGGTCATGGCGGCGGGTTTTTTGCCGCGTGAAGGCCTGTTCCAAGCAGGGATGACGAGTGAGGTGCGGCCGCGAGCCTGAGACTGACCTTCACCGCTGCTGGATCTGCATGAAGAATGATAAAGGGTTCAAGGTGCCAGGCCACTCAGCATTTAAAGGAACAGGCAAGGCAGTAGCATGGGCAGCCAATCACCCGTCCGACCGTCTGAGGGGCACCATCCCCGAGGAATTGATTTTTGTCCCCGGGCCGCCAGATAAGTTGGAGATCCAGCTCGACCCTTCCCTGGACCCGCCTTCTGAGCTCCCCTTGGGGGTTGACCCCCTTCCCCTCCTCAGGGGCCTGCGGAAGAGGGGGGGATCTGGCTGATTCTTCAGGAAGACCTTTCTCGGGGCATCCGATTCTGAGGGGGACCACCTGGGCGGTTGTTTCGGTTGGCTGGGTGGCCGTCCCTCGATGGTCGGAATCCCGAGTCGAGATGCCTGGGCGTTTCGGCGGAGCCTTTTCAGGCAGCAGACGAGGCATCAATCGAGCTGAGCTCCGCTTGAAGAAGCTTTTTTGGCCACCGAGGAGAGGGATTTAACGTGCGTGTCTGATAGTGCGCATGTGCAACGGAGTTTGCTCAGATTCCGAGCCAAGGCGAAATGAAAGGCAAAGACCAACAGTGATCTTTGGAACCTGGTGCGGGCACTCTACAAAGAGAGTGGCATCGATCTCATCAAATAGAATCGTGTTTCCTCGGTGGAGTTTGCGCGCCTCCACTGCCATGAAAGCGCTCTTCCTGTTCTGCACCCTTGCGGATAAGCTTGCTGTTTATTACGCCCCAGGAGCCCAGGTCCCGTCAGGATTCTCGGAGACAGTTCGGGAGCTGGAGCTAGAGTCGAGGGATATCTGTATCTGTAGGAGGCTGGCCGTTTTGGCCGAGATGCTGGCGAGCCGTCCAGACGGGGACGGTGGCGTCGGGCTCGGCGAAGCCGAAGCTCGACCTGCCGCACGCCATAGGGGAGACCTTGCACCTGCTTGGTTCGGCCGATGGATCCAGTCTTCTTTTTGTTCGGCAAAGCGCACTGCTCGGTTGCCAAGCAGCGTCTACCCCTCGCTCTGCCTTGCAGAGCGCACGCAATGCTAGAGCACAGCATCTGGGACAGTGGGGCGGCGGCCCTCAAGGATCCTGTTGACCCCTCTCTGCCGCGCGCGCCCTGCACTGTCGAGGCGCCCATTCTCGTTGGCACTGTCGTTCATGCGGTACCCAGCCGGCCAGGAAAACCGACGGCGCTGTATAACTCAGTGGCTCGGGAAGCCGTGTGCTCCTCCAGCCCTCCGCGACCCCAGTAGTCGGGCCCCGCTGGAGGTGGGGCCTGTGCGAGGGGCTTGTATGCGCGCCCGTCTAACTTGAAGTCGAGCCTGTCCCTCTACAGGGGGAATATTCACAAATAGTAAAACATTGTCTTGTTTATATTCATGAGAATTGTTTCAATTTTTCTGCCAAAATCTGCCTGTACGGGGGACACGCCTGACCTACAGTAGTCAGGCTCCGCGGGAGGTGGGGCCTGTGCTGTATGCGCGCCCGTCTCACTCGATTCGGTGGTGGGAGGTCGGGTTGGCGTCTCGAGACTAGCTTGCTCTTGCGTGCTCCAGACGTGGTGGCCCAGGCGCGGGCCACGGCAGACGGAGCGGGAAGCTTGGCCTGTGCAGGAGTGCCGGGCCCCAACCAGAACGGGGCTTGCGTGTTCGAGAGCGCCCGAGAAGGGTCGAGCGCCTGGCCACACCAAGATGGTCATGGAAACTAATCTGCTCAAGCGACTGTGAGGAGCAGCGTGCAGCTCATCGTCGACTCTGATCAAACCTCCCTCCCCGTCCTGCTTTCCTCCAGGCCGTACGGTAGGGACCTTTGGCTTGGCGTGTCGCGCAACGGGTTCTGGCCCGCAACGCTTCAGCGCGGCACGCTGACAACTTCTCGGACCTCAAGCGTCAGCGTCCGGAGCTTTTCCCAGTCCCGCCCACACGCGGAGTGGCGCGACTTGCGATCAGTTCTCAGGGCATAGCGTGCCAATGGGGCCGCCGCCGCGACACGCTACGCAAAAGTTCCTGACCACATACTGTCCCTCTCCAGACAAGCGAGACGCCCTCAGGCGTAGGGCGGCTTGATGTTACCGTCGGCACGTGCGATCCAGCGCGGACGATGACGGTTCCCGACCGTGTCGGCTTCGAGTTTGGGCTTGCTCGGGGTTTGGCGAACGGGTCGCAGCGATCCGGACGGCTCGCTGAGACTGAACTCGAACTCACAGAGGAGAGGAAGACTCGCCGATACCGACAGTTTTCCATCTTTTTCGCCGTTTTGGCCCTGCTGGGGGGGGGGCCCTGCCGCCACGGCTGAATTCGCTTCGGAATCTTGGTCAGGAGCACACGCCGGGAGAGGTCCAGGGGGTACCGGTATCGGCATCGCCGGTGCAGGATCGATCGATCAGAGATTCAGTCCAGCAGTGGTGAGCACGCTGGTTTCGGTCAATTCTGATTTGCAGGTCAAAGGTTCGGCCTAATCACCTACCCACAGCCCAACGCACAGGAGTACGAAAAGAGCTTGCGGATGTGAAGATTTTGCCGTAACCACCGCCTGGCGGATCCAGCCTCGGGGACTTCGGCGGGGGGTGGTTGTGGATGTATTCGGGCCCTGTAAGGACCAAATGCGTCATATCCACCGCCCGCCGAGACCCACGAAGATCGATCCGCAGGCGATGGTTCGGACATATCTGGGACTCCGGGTAAGGGGAGCCAATTGGTGCTTGGGCCCCGAAGCCCAAACCATGAATCAGAATCACTGGGCCAAAAGCCTGCCGTAGCTGATGCTTCCCCTGGGTGACGGGGCTCCCAGTTCGTGGAACGGGGCTAGGGGTGGGGGGGGGCGTCCCTCGGCACACATCACTAGTCCAGGTCCCCGCTGGGCCCAGTCCTGCCAACGCCCGATCCGTGCTTTGATGGGCCTGTTTTCCCCCACAACCACCATAAGTTGGATGGGGGGAAGGAGGAGGCGGACGAGGAGGAGGACGAAGAGGAGGAGGAGGAGGAGGAGGAGGAGGAGGAGGACCCCCTCCCCCCCCAACTTATGGTGGTGGTGGTGGAAGAGAGGCCCATCATGCTTGGCTGCAGCCCGCCTTCTTCTGTGCTAGCGCCGGCGCGGGGCCCACGGGCTGGCTGTCGCAGGGCCGAAGAGCAGAGTTGCAGCGCCCAGTGCTCCTCAGAGCGCAGCGCGGCAGCGACCCCAATCCAACTGGCCATGATGGGCTTGTTTTCCACCACCACCACCACCACCACCACCACCACCACCACCACCACCATACGTTGGATTGGGGGAAGGAGGTGGAGGATGAGGAGGATGATGATGAGGAGGAGGAGGAGGAGGAGGACCTCCTCCCCCATCCAACGTATGGTGATGGTGGTGGAAAACAGGCCCATCAGGTCATGTTCAAGCGCAGCGCGCCGTCGGGTCGAGGTCTCGGAGGCAAGAAGCTGGAGTTCGGTAGCACATCTTGGGGGCCCAGTGTGTCCTCGCACTTCCGTCTTTCGATTACAGTCGTGTGCGGTAGCTCCTGTGGCAGTCGATGAGAAAGCGCCGACTTAGCGTCGAACAGCGTCGATTTGGCGTCGATTAGCGTCGACCAGTGTCGATTAGCGTCGATTCGCAAGGTCAAGCAGGATGGCGTGTGAGGTCCCCATGAGTTGCCACCAAACTAGGAGACTGCCCCCCCGTGGCTCTGGGGCGTGGCTGCGCGCCCTCTGATGGCACATGCGTGTACGGCGCTGCTGGGCGGGCCCTGTGGGGACGAGAGCCTCCCGAAGACACCGCCCAGCCAGCTCACGACCCCAACATCCCCAAACCAGGGCGGGCGGGCGGGGGACCGTCCCCGTCGGCTGCCAAGCGCAGCTCGGCCACCACCCTGCACAGGGTGCATGGCTGGTGTTTGTACCCCGCCCCAACCATGCGGACCGCAGGCCAGCGCTCAACCAACCTGCACGCAACGGCACGGCACAATGGCACGGCGCGACGGCACCGCGTGACGACACGGCACCAGAGGCATTGCGCGACGGCGCGGCACCACGGCACGGCGCGACATTGGCACTCCTCGCGCGTGACGGCACGGCACCACGGCGCTACGTGACGGCACAGCACCACGGCACGTACGGCGCAGCATTTCCCCCATTCCGCCCTCGTGACGACGGACGTCACCAATCTTGATGCGGCACCGCACGTGCTCGAGCGACGCCGCGGACCGCCACCCTCCAGGAAGGCATCGTGGGCTCAATGAAATCAATCACAGCCGCCGCCACTGCTGCCAATCCTCCTGCCGCTACTCGAAGAGTACGAATCAAGAGTAAATGAATGCGACCACCACCGCCAGGGCTTCCAATTCCAGCGTGGGGAGGTGCACGATGCCACCTCCAGCTGAGGGTAGATGATGTCTCGAATATGGAGGAGGCCTCACATCGCCAGGAGGACCCCCCAAGCTCCTCGCGCTGCTGGTGGTGGTGCCGATTTCCCTTGTTCGTGAAGAAGCGTGTGGAGCACGGGTCCAGGCCATTGGGGTGCCCTGAAGGCTCGTGGCTTCGGACTGCAGCAGGCCCCCCTGCGTCCCGTGTGAGCATGACCCGCTCCAAACAAGATTGTGTGCATGCCAGGCCCGTCTCCTCCTGCCCCCGTGCCGCCCGCTCTGTCCATCCGCCCTCTCGTCTATGGCAGGTCAGAGCGGATGGTGCGGACTTGCTTCGCTCCGACAACGGAAATTGCATGACCGTGAACTGTCAGACGTCGCACGGGTTTCTTTCAGGAGGGGAAAAAAACACCAGACACAATGAATCGTCGATTCCCCAGAAAATATAGGAAAATATGGGAAGTGGGGGGGAAGACAAAAAAACAGAAAATATTGGAAACATATGGGTAATCCTGTTATTTGTGTATTTGTGTGTGTCCCAGGGGCCCCTTCCATTCTTGCATCTGCGCTGGACCCCCCTCCCTGGCGCGCGGAGCGCGCCAGGTCCAGCGCCGCGCCGCGGGCGCCGCCAGAGGTGCACAGCCCCAATCCACGAAGTCCGCGCGGACCTCCTTGGCAGGAGTGCGCACCCTGTTCACTTCTAAGTATTCGAAGGTTCCTTGATTTTTTTTGGGGGGGGGGCAAGATCCTTTCATTTCTAAATTGTTCTATCCTGGGCCTCTTCCTGGCCACTGGGGGGCCAGGAACAATTAGAAACGGGCACAATTAGAAATGAGCACGATTAGAAAGGAACGACGTGTATGTTCATGCAGACTTTCGTCATTCTGTAACTGTCGAGCGTCGCAATCACATCGGCATCCCGCCTCACCCTTCCCTTTACCCTTAGCCATTTTGGGCGACGGGAATTGGTGAGGCGCCATGGAGTCGGAAACACCCAGTGCGCCAGGCTCGAGCGTTTTCGCCACGAAGAGACCCATGGTGCTGAACCGCCATTCCCGTCGGGGTAGAGGGTGGCAGCTTGGGTACCATCGCATGTTGTGTCCCTAGGCCGCTCCTCGACCACCTAGACGTCTCCCGTGGTTCGCGCGTGTGCGCGCGTGGTGTTCCGACAGGATTAGATTCCCAAACTTTTGGTGAACGGGTTCGACGGCGGCACGTCTTGGGACCTCCTCGGTTCCGCCAAAGGGTTTCCCGAGCTTTGGGCCACGGGTACTTCGCGCCGCCGCCGTGCCAAGGGGCTGCCGCCCCTGGCGCGGTCAGGTTTTTTCTCGTCGCTGCCTTGCGTTGCGCAATGGCGAAGATTGCGACGCAGCGCGGCGTTTCAGCGCAAGTGCGGGGCCGGATGTCACCGACGCTGGTTGGAGCTGGCCCCCGCGGCGTAATGACCCCCTCCCGATTCACATCCCGCCCACGACCCTGCAGCCCGAGAATACCCCCTCCCCCCGTCCCCTTGTGCTAGGAGCCCAGCGCGTTCGTTCGTTTATGCATTCACATCCACATGTCTGCGACCGACGCTTCCAGTCTGAGCAACAAAATCTACAAGGCTACGACCACCCCCACCCACAACCCGCCCACGATTCAGTAGCATGAGAATGCCTTCTCCCCCACACACCCCCTGCGCTAGGAGCCCAGCGCGTCCGTTCGCTCATGCATTCGCATCCGCTTGTCTGTGACCGACGCCTCCGCTTTCTGGGCAGCTGAAGCTGGAGGCGAGGCCCCTTCTTCGGAGCTGCGGCCGCTGCTCCTCGACCTCGCTGCCCCCCTCTTCCTCACTCCCCCCACCCGCCCCAACCGCCTCCTCGGTCCGGGGCTCGAGCCAAACGGTGTCTTGGCGATTTGGTGGACTGATTTCGTTTTGATTTTGGTTTTGCAGCAAAGGTGGAACGACGACAGGGCGAGGGAAAGCGAAAACAGCAGCAGCAGGAAACTCAGCATCCGGCAGGACGCGTAGGCAGAAGAGAGTACAGTTGGCTGCTCTTCTTACATGCGTGGGAGGCGCCATAGAAAAGTTGTCGCTTCAGCACGTATGGATCAGGCAGGGGGGGGGGCGCGGAAGGATAGCTACATGCACTGTGCCAATGCGTGCACTTCTTTGCCCCACTGGTGCCGTGGCCGGCTGCGCTTCCGCTTCAACGCTGCTCATCTCTAGCCTTGCCTCGGCCCGCTCCGCTCGGCGGCTTGGCGCGGGCGAGGTGTGGGTGATGAACCAGGGCATTGCGCAGCGCCCGGATTGGTACCCAGGCCAGCCGCCGCGCATCGAATTTTGTCGCCCCCCCTTGCGCTGCTGCTTGCCCCCTTCCCGCGGTCGAGGGCACGTCACCACCCACCACAACCATCCCAACCCAACCCGAAGGCCCCGATTTGCCATCCGTCCCCTGTGGGGTGGGTGGGCGTCGGGGAACGTTGACATTTCCCTGTGGCGTACCCGACCCAGTTGCATCAAGTGACAAGAGGAGTCGGCTCAAACTTGCCAGGGCAATGACAGTGCAGGCGCTGCTAGATGTTGTGCAAGCTACATGGGATGCGCTCGCGTGGCACGATTCACAGGACAAACACAGAAGGACGAGGAACGAGGGCCCAGGCTTGAGGAGGACATGGGGGCGGGAACGAAAGGCAGGAGTAGGACGCGCGGGGGGCCGAACCGTCAGCGCGGCAGCAGCAGAGGGAAGGTGGCAGCGGGCAAAGGACGACGACGACGAGAGTGATGGGAGAAGACCGAAGAGTGTTGCGTTCGGTTGTAGTACGCTAGAGATGCAGCGCTGCCTGCGCCATGTCGCCGCGGCGCTCGAACAAATAAGTAAATCTGCGTGTAGGTCGTGCAAGAAGCGAGCGAGGCCTTGCTCGCCCGCCAGCTTCTTTGTTTCCTTATTGACGACCCCGGAATCCAAAACAACCCATAGATAACAGAAGAAGGCATCACCATGCCCCCAGCAGCCCTCGAAAGTGGCGACAGTGTCGCAGATCGCAGCCCCCCAGGAATGGCGAGGTTTCCTTGCGGTCCGCGTAAGACGTCACTCCACTGCACCCCCTCGGCAGCCTTCGAGAGTGGCGACACTCACGCAGAGCGCCGCCCCTCAAAGATGGCGAGGTCGTCTGGTGGTCCGCGCAAGACGTCCTTCCGCTGCACCCCCAAGCAGACCTCGAAAGTGGCGCCGGTTTCGCAGATCGCAGCCCCCCCCCCAGGGATTTCGAGGTTTCCTGATGGCCCGCGTAAGACGTCACTCCGCTGCCCCCCCCAGCAGCCTTCGAAAGTGGCGACAGTTTTGCAGATCGCAGCCCCCCCAGGGATTGCGAGGTTTCCTGATGGCCTGCGCAAGACGTGACGCCCCTCCGCTGCACTCCCCGGCAGCCTTCGAAAGTGGCGACGGTTTCGCAGATCGCAGCCTCCCAGGGATGGTGAGGTTTCCTGATGGCCCGCGCAAAACGTCACTCCGCTGCACCCCCCGGAAGCCTTCGAAAGTGGCGACAGTTTCGCAGATCGCATTCCCCAAGCAAGGCGACGTCTGTTGGTGACCCGCGTGAAACGTCACTCAGCTGCACCCCCCAGCAGCCCTCGAAAGTGGCGACAGCTTCGCAGATCACAGCCCTCCCAGGGATGATGAGGTCTCCTGGTGGTCCGCGCAAAACGTCACTCCGCTGCCCCCCCCAGCAGCCTTCGAAAGTGGCGACGGTTTCGCAAATCGCGACCCCGCAGGGAAGGTGAGGTCTCTTGGTGGTCCGCGCAAAACGTTACTCCGGTGCCCCCCCCAGCAGCCCTCGAAAGTGGCGACAGTATCGCAGATCGCAGCCCCCCAGGAATGCGTAAAGCCTCCGCTGCACTTCCCAGCAGCCCTCGCTCGAGGCGACAGTTTCGCAGATCGCAGCCCCCCCGGGATAGCCAGGTAGGAGGCAAGCTGGCACGCAGGAAGGAGCGAGGTGAGGGGCAGGAGAGAAGAGGAGAGGAGGAAGGAGGTGGGAGAAGGAGGAGGAAAGACGGAGACCACAGTAATTACTCTTTCCACACACGAGTACCCAACGCAGGAGGGCTGGGAAAAACACATATGGAACCCGTACCCACCCCAAATCGAAATTTGCGTCTTCGGGTTGGGTTAGGGTGGCTTGGTAGGTAGTCAGCACGGCGTCCAGGCTAGCCACCAGAAATCTGATGTTTCTAGGGCGGTGGCCAGAGCCCTCATCGCGCCCAGCCCCCATATCGGCCGAAAAGGTGTGCGGCAGGAAAAGATATGTGCGTGAAACGTTACCCCATCTTGTGGCCGAACACGTCGTGTGACCGAAATTGCGACCGCAACTGAGAATCGTATCGACCTCGAGCCAACCATTTCGGTCACACTCGGGCGCGGTCAGAAAATTTTGGGAGCCAGCTTCGGTCGCGCTCTGGCAGATTTTGAGGGAACCGTTTCGGTCATGATGTATGCCCACCTGATAGAGGCGAGGCTGCGTGAATGGGTGGGACAGAGTCCGTGGCAATAGGGCCTGGCATGCCTGCCATCCCTGTCGAAATCTGCCGGGCTGGGGATAGTGTATTATTGCAGGATGTGTGCGTCCGTGCACCCATGCGAGGCTGTTCTGCTCGGATCGAAGCCGCCGCGTCGTCTGCCCTGACTTTACGGCACGCCCACAGGGCCAAGAACTCAAGGGGGGGAGCGATCTTTTTTGCGAGGCCTTCGCGAGGCGTACCCATTCAGCGGGGGTGGGCGGGGGCCGGATTCCATATACATAGGGGGGAGCAACCTTGGATCATACATTAGTAGAAGCGCATTTGTTTGGGGTCCACGCTGGACATGTTTCAAGGCTCTGGCGATAGCCTGGGTAATCGGGCCCGCCCGGCCCCCCCCCACTCCCCCCCGGATGACCTGACCCGGTAGCAGGCCCCGATTCTTCATCGTTCCGCAGGGCACGGAGAGCGCACAAGCGGGCGGAATCGCCTGCAAAAGGCGAGGCGTCGGGGGCCCCTGCGTGGGCGCAGAGGACGAGACGACGACGAGGACACGATTTCAGCGGGGGGAGCGAGCGACGAGGCGACAGGGGAGGAAAGACAAGCAGGGCCCCTGCTCTCTGTGGCCGCCGGCCGTGTCGCGATTCCCCGACCCTCCTCCTCCACCTCCTCCTCCTCATTTTCTCCTCCTCCACCTCCTCCTATTCCTCCTCCTCCTCCTCCTCCTCCTCCTCCTCCTCCGTCGTCGGCGGTCCAATCTGGCTGCCACTTGCTTAGCTAGCAGAGCTGAGCACCACCTCGGCCGACCGAGGACTATGCATGATTGCATGTCGCTTACCATGGCGGTTTGCAGACTCGCCCAAGCCGCTCCTGCCTGTATTGTTGTTAGTGTTTATCGTACCATTTGCAACGCCTGGACCACGTCGGCCAGGTTCCCAGGGCCTACTCGTGCGTGCCACTTTTGTAAAGTCAGAACCTGCCTGGATTCGCTCCGTCATTATCTAGAGTATAGCTCCTTACAGTGCATCTATCCCTTATTGCCCCATCTGTCCGTGCGCTTTCTCAATGCCAGTGGTGCCCAGCGTGCCGCGTTCCATCCTCTTCTGCCTGCCTCGAAATCCGAGCTGGTGTCTGCTGCTGTGTGCATCGATGTCATCTGCTCTGTTTACCACGATAGCAAGGAATCCGCACTTGTCCAGAGGATAATCCCCTTGCGTCTCATGGCTGCAGCTCGCATCAAGAAGCTGATGCGCCGCTAGCCTGGGCTTCAGGCGCTTCTTCGATGAGGCGCGTGGTGCTGGGACGTCCTTTCCTCCCCCCTTCGGCTCTTGTCCGCTTGCCCTCTTGTCCCTTGCTCGCGTCTTGTCCGCTCTCTCTTCTCTTGGCCCTGTGCTCTCCTCCTCCTCCTCCTCCTCCTCCTCCTCCTCCTCCTCCTCCTCCTCTGCGACAACGACCGGATGGGCCATGCCTGGGACACGGCCGCGGCGGCGCGCAAGGCCACCGCGTGGGGAGAAGGAGTCGCTCCGGGTGGGAGAGAGGGCCCCCCCCCTCCTCCGAGATGCCCGGGCGGCGCAGGTCTCGGGCCCGGGTCGTCTTTCGAAGAGATCCAGGACTTCTTGTACCGGGACGGCACGGGCAACTCCAGCTGCGACGAGAGGCGCGCTTGGTTCTGTCGGCGCTGCTGTCGAGGAAACGCAGGCATGATGGACGAACCGAAGAGTTACAGGAGAGGGCACTGGCATGCGGTCAGGAATGCTGGCTTCGCGTGTCCCTCCGCCGGTTTTGGCCCACCACGCTTCGGCGCGACATGCCATCCACTTCCCAGTCCCCGCGCGTCAGCGTCCCGAGCTGTTGCCAGCCTCCCGCCCCGCGGAGCGGAGCGACACGCTGTCCGCTCGCAAGGGATGGGGTGGCCGCCGACGCGACACGCTATGCTGAAGCTCCTGACCGCAATCGGAGAGTCAAAAGCGGCACAGGCATGATGCATCTGAACCCCGCGCGGATGTCTTGGATCGGCGCCGGGCCGCCCTGACGGCGCCTCTGGCGCCGCCGCTGGCGCGCTCCCCGCGCCGGGATGGTAGTCCACCGCCGATCCAAGACGCCCGCGCGGAGGTCAGAGAACATACGTCTATGTTTCTGGCTTCACCAGAGGAAATGCGAGCACGAGTGTCGGGGAGCGTAAGACCCGGGTTTGCCAGGACTCGGGTTCGCCATCGTTTTTTGACGACCGCGACTCGGATTTTGACGAGGAGGAGTTTTGTGGGATGTCTGCAGCGGGAGGCCTCGTCAAAATGCAGGTTCGGCCTCGTCATTTTTTCTGACGACCTCGTCGGGGATTTCCGAGTCCCCCGTACCCGGGTCTTCATCCCCCCGAGAGTAAGCGGCGGGTCCCACTTCCGTGCAAAATCGGCGCGTTCCGTCGCAAAACGAGGCCGCGCAGGCCTCGTGTTTCGGGGGGGTTTTCTCGATGCGCCCATGCAACAGGTCCACGGATCCGTAGTCCATATTGTCGTATGTCCGAATCTGCATCGAGTTATGCTGCTCACCCTTGCCCAGGAGGAGGAGGAGGAGGAGGCGGAGGCGGAAAAGGAGGAGGAGGAGGCGGGAGGAGGAGTAGGAGGAGGAGGAAAAGGAGGAGGAGGAGGGAAAAGCAGGGAGGTGTTCCATGCATTCGGACGGGTTCGGGCGCTGCTGTGCTTCCCTTGGCTTCCTCGCCCTGCCCAGCCTCGGAGCAGTCTCGCGCGCGGCCGCCGAGTGCCTGCGCGTGCCCTGCTTCTGTCACGGCACGGCGGGTCCAGGCCGCCCGTGTTTTGTGTGCGTGTGTGCGTGCGCTCGTACGCGTGTGCGTGCGTGCGCGCGTGCGTGTGTGAGTGTGTGCGTGCGTGCGCGCGTGCGTGTGAGTGCGTGTGTGTGTGTGTGTGTGTGTGTGTGTGTGTGCGTGTGTGTGTGTGTGTGTGTGCGTGTGTGCGTGTGTGCGTGTGTGCGTGCGTGTGTGTGCGTGTGTGCGTGTGTGCGTGCGTGCGTGCGACTGTGCGTGTGTGCGTGTGTGCGTGTGTGCGTGTGTGCGTGCGTGCGTGCGTGCGTGTGTGTGTGTGTGT